TATTTGTTAAAATTGAGGGTGAAATCATCATAAGTTTTCTGCAACAAAGACCAATTGCTTCATTACATGGGGGGCTATATGGTGGCTCGGATTTGCACCAATTAAATTGTGCTTCAAACAAGGTCACAAAAATAATGTTGCAGTTTCCTTCCATTTTTCACCATATATGGCTTTACTCTGGAAATGGTGCGACTGCAGCTGCTGATTTCTGTTTAATCCTTTTCCCATGTTTTTTCCAGATATGGTCCATATCAGGAAATCATGCAACAATGATTTTTGCTTGGTTTCCTTCCATATTTCCTCCATATATGATAAATATCTGGATATGGTCCAAATACATATTAAACACATATTTTTCTAACTATGATAATGTCAGAAAATTTTAAAATGTGAATTTAACCTGGCCATATAATTGTCATATAATTCCCATAACAACCCCACATTTTGTTCCAGATAATTTCCAGCTTTGGTCCATATAAGAACCATATTAAAATTTTGGTAAGGGAGGTCAGGAGAATGAAGGAAATGATCAGCCAACTAGATAAACTCTGATTGGAAAACAAATTCTCATTGTCAGCACCTTTGGAAACTTAGAGAGAACAGTATGGAGAATATGCATGTTGTTGTTAGGGGGGAAAGAGTTAAGGTCCCTAATTTTGTGTTACACTTACCCTGTATGTATAGTAAGTGTAAGCTTGGAACCGAACATTAGGCTCTTCCTTTTCTTCCTAATGATTTCGTTTTCCTACAATATCAACAAAAAAGCTAAACTGTTTCAATCTTCAATCGACAGAATTGTATTTTTGATTTAAGACACAATTGTTTGACGCAAAGTTCAATTGCTACTTGACTACTGAAATTACTTAGTTTTAATGACACAATTCAATGTCAAAACAGGATTATAGTCTGTACCATTTAATAATTATCTTCTTGGTCCAGCCTGACAGTTTGTTCAAAAGTGAATTGGTACTAATTAAAATTGGAAAAGATGGGATTTGGATGAGGCCTGAAAAAAGTGCAATTTGCAGACAAATTTAAAACTGTTGTGAGCCAATCAGAATGCAAGAATCATCATGGATGCCAAAATGGAAGCAAAATAAGAAGTTAACATTGTGAAAAGATAGTTACTGTACTAGTAAATTTTAATATAAAGTCAACTGATTAAAATCTACTTACAGCCAAATCTGACCAGACAGAATTTCATTGTTCCCATGCTTTCTAGAGTTGTGTCAAGACTTATGGGAACCCTTGGCTCTGACTGTTTTTCCAAGACATAATTATTCCTTGGCTGACACTTAAAAAAAAGAAAGGATTTTAAAGAACTTAGAATTACTGAACAGATTTGTAAATAATCTACCAAAAAAGTACATTGAATCTTCTTAAAGAATATTCCTCTATATGAACAAGGTAAGTTCTTCCATCTGTTGATAAATGTCTGTCTCTAAATTTTAAACTTTGTCTTACTTTTCTCAAAAGATTTGCTCTTTTTCCACTCTGCCACAAATGCAAGAAGCTGCACTAGTTACGAGTGTACATTTAGCTGAGAAGATTCAAGGATTTATGCTTCCAACACCCTGACTTCTTCAGTAAAAGAAAAATCATTGTTGTACACCTGCAATTTTCCTTGCTCTAAACACAATTATTGTGATTGGTTGATTCGTAATAACACGACCCTGCATAAATTGAAATGTACACTGCTCATGATCAGGATACAATATTGAAAGGATGTGAAAAATTGTATCCTGAGCAAGTTACATGAATTGGATGTGATCACCCTTACCAAAACCACATATATTTTACATACATCTGCTACATATGTATGTGACATATATGTTACATGTATTTGACCTATATGTCACATACATGTAACATATATGTGACATGTGTCACATATATGTCACACATGTGTCAAATGTAGGAATTTGAAGCCTATGTGCAGTTATGTGACAAATATGTGGACATATAGATTTTACACAAATAAATAAAAAACATATGCCACATATATGTGACATGCATTTGACATGTGCGACAAAAAGTATTAATGGCAGCTAGCTATTAATTGTGAGATATGTTGTGGTTGCTCCCACACAGAGCGACCTACTAATTTTTTTGTAGTTTTAAGTTGTTAAATTTATACTTATAACAGTTCTCAATGGAAACAACTAAATTGATTATAGTAGAAGAATGACAGAATGATTAAAAATTCATGTCAATTGAAGTTAATGAAAGAGACTATGATTACAATCATGTATATGAAGAATGATGTAAATACAGTAGAAATTTAAAAATGGTTTGCATACAATATATAGTTACAAGTAATAAAGTTCATCTTATTGTCTCGCTGTTTTGGAAATGCCTCTCTTGCTTCCGGTACATTTGTCCTGTATAGTTTTTCGGACTTTTGTGACCCTGTTCTACTCTTTGAACTGTGATTGCACAAATGCTGTAAATGAAGAAGGATTCATAGCAGTTAGACAATTTCCAAAGCCAATATAATGATTTTAGACAGCTATTAATCACTAAATGTGTCTCTCATATTTTTTGCATTATTAACTATCAAACACATGACTAGAAGCTCCTGTATTTTACTTGTGTAGCATCAGAAACTTTTTAATTATCCCAAGAAAAATTCCACTGTCGTAGCCAACAGGACTTGGAATTCCTTGGAATTCTTAGGAAATTTTAGGAATTCCAACTCAGCACATCAATGGCTTCCCTGAAATATTGTGAATCTAAAACTTGCAGGAAATTCCAAGGATTTTTAAGGAATTTTTAGGAATGTTTAAGAATTACTGGGAATTTTAGGAATACTTCAAGGCAACTAAATATCAAATAAATACATGCATTAACTCCCAACAATAAATTCAAGTAGTCAATGAAATTTATTTATATGCTTAACTCAGGTTTACATGTTAATTATTTGCTATTGTATATTAACATCAACATGTAGTAATATCAGGATGAAATTTCCTTTTCTTTCGTTGAAAACTTTGTAAAAATTATCCACAATTACAGCTATTCATTTAAAATAGTCCTAGTGAATCAGTAAATTTGGTTTGACACAAATTGTGAATAACATCTGTTGATTCTTTTTCCTGAAATGCAATAACTTGGGTTATGTTTATTGCAATAAATATTATCAGTCCAAGAATAGTCTTGAAAGGAATCATTTCACTTGGGATGATGATGTAAATGATATTTTATCCTTTGACTTCATTTAATGTGGTTGTAACTTCTTTGGCTAAAACTCTTGTGTGTCAAGTTCCAAATGTAAGCTGTCAAGCAGCATCTTCATGCTATGTTGTTTGTTTTTGTTGATTCTGCAAGTTGAATTTTGACTGAACACTCTTAGGAGTGAAGGGCTTAATTACAGTTAAATAATTGATTTTTTAATAAAATTAAATTCTTGTTGTAACTGTAATAATTAATTGCAATGACATTATCCCAAACTGCAGACTACGCAGCTGCTTGTCTTTTTCTGCTGGGCTCGCAGCTAATGCCAAACGCGACTAAAATAATCCTGAAATCTTTAGCGTAAGCTTACGAAACTGTGGCAAGCAAGTGACCGACTTGTACCAAATATCGCAATTTTTACTCACCACAAACTTTCAGAATCCGTAGTTTTATAAATGATTGAAACCGAGATGTAAAGGTGTGGGCCGCCTTTGTTAGTGCACTTCATAGTATTGTATGGTTTGAAATAAGTTATTTTTGCCACTTATGAGATAATTGACTGCCCTATCAAACGCAAGTAATGGGGAAGTTGTGATAGAAATGATTGAAACCGAGATGTAAAGGTGCGGGCCACCATTGTTAGTGAACTTCATAGTATTGTATGGTTTGAAAGAAGTTATTTGGTGCGGGATTTTTTCATTGAGGGGAGATTTTGTTAATTGGAAAGGGTGGCGTGCTTTAGGAAGGTAAATGGTCTCCGATACTTGGAAGTTATCTTTCTTTGCTTAATATAAATTTTAGTATGGAAGAGAAAGGAATACAAGTTGCAATAGGATCGAAATGTGGGCTGAGAAGTGCAAAAACCAGTGCTTGTAGTCAAACCACAACATTAGAAACTGGGAAAGAGGAACAGCTACGCAATGTGGAATGTCTCTTAAAGGGAGTTATGGTCGCAACTGTGAACACAAGAAGTGGCGATACGACAACCTGGTAGTGCAAATGCAGGACAAAGAAATGCTGGTGTACTGGTTAATGGATGAAGGGCTTATGGCAAAGGAACATTTGTGTCCGATGTGTGCTGGAGAAATGACTTTGACGAGGTGCGAGGATCGATGGAATAGTTTGAAGTGGGAATGCAGAAAGCAAGTTAACGGTA